ACCCTTAAGTTCGTAAATCAAGTGAAGTAATTCCTAGGCACTTCGGATACCTGTAGGACGTAAGATTCCCTAAGGTTATAAAGTCCGACGATAAGGAAGTTACTTACCGCAGTAAAGAAACTTAGATATATTACGTGAAGTAATCAGAGAAGATTATTCCCGGTGATAACGCCACAACATTGATATTTTTCTTGAAAGATAATAAAAAATTAAATTTAGAAAAATTTTTACCGATAATTTGTTTAAACAATGAACCTGTCATTAACTCTATACATTACGAGCATTGTATATGTAATAATTTAACATCTTACATAAATATTCAATATCTCTGTTGAATTATTGTTAGCATTAAGGTCACTAGTTATGTATCAATTTTTATTAATGAGTATTTATTTGAACACATTTTGTGAAAATTTTATTGGTTTTACGTGTTCATCACTAAACGAAAAATTTCAAAAACTCAATCTTCATTCAAGAAAATAATTTTTTCATAGTTATAATTTCCTGTAACAAAAAAAAAACTTTGAAAGGTTAAAAGTCAGATAATATTTGGGTAAATTCTGAAGTAAGCCAAAACAGTTTAATAAAAAATAAAAAAATAAAATTTATTATACAATTCATTTGATTAAAAGATAAGTGATAAAAAATTAAATGATATTATGATGTATTATTTACAAGTGATTAAAAATTAGATCTTAATAAAATATGTTCAAAACATAATTAAATTTCTAATTCTGAGTATATATAAGGAATTTTAAAATAATTTATCTGAATCGACTTGAGTGTTTATGTTTTCTCTTGATACTCTTGATCCTTTTGATATTAGTTCTAATAGAGTTCATATGCTTGAAAAAGAAATTTATTATTTTTCTGCCGCAAGAGCCTATAAATAAAATTAAATATAAAGATTTTTTTTAATGATTTGAATTGGATGAATTTTTATAATCGTTAAAATCTTTAATCCCTTACAACACACTTACATTTTATTTTATCCTTGCTTTCATAAATTTCAATTTGAGAATCAATTGAATAGTTAGACAGACATTGATTATTTTGTGGAGTTACGATATTGTGTGAATTCATTTTTACTTGAGATTATTTTGAAATAATTTAAATAATTTTTTATTTTTCAGCAAAAAGCTAATTTTCTTTTGTGAGTCAAAAAATTCAGGTTGCCAAAAAATATTTAATTTATAGCTTTTATGAGAGCCAAGAATATAATTATACTACTGTTGCAAGTAACCAATCACGTATCAGCTCAATTATTAAGCGGGGAAAATGTGGACATTTGAGTCAAACAGCAGACCTGTTCAATTTCGATTGATGCAATTTTTAGTGCAGATATTTGAGTTAAACAGCCAGCCTGTTCAATTCCGATTGATGCAATTTTTGATGTAAATTTTATGTAATATAATACATCCTCAAATTTGCATCACATGCATCTGAACCAGCTAATTAAATTGATATACATCGAATCATGAATTATTAATTGGTTAATAATGATAATCAAAAATTACATTTAGCATCTAGAATTATATAGTTCTTTATTACGCTTCAGACTAATAATAACCTCTCCTTAAATATTTACAAAAAAAAAAAAATTAAATAAATAATTAGTGCCACATTTGACATCACAAATTTAAGCTCATGATCCATTCTTTTCTAAGAAATGTTGTACTAAATTGTGTATAACATTATCTATAAATATAATGTACAAATTAGTAAAATGATCATCTTGCAAACAAAAATTTGGCGAGAAACATTTATATGTTAGCTTTAGGTAATGTACAGGAAATAAGACGATTTAATTGGTGTTTTTTATTAGAAGTATAACTAATAACAGGATATTCAGATGAAAGCCAATCCCAAAAATTTAAGAATCTATGTGTATCAGAGATAATATGTTCAGGATAACAAATAGGGCAAGAAGGATCAATTGAAATCTGAGTTATATTATCAATTCGCCAAGTATGTAATTGTGTATGCAAGCGTTGTTTATAAATTAAAAGTTCAAAATTAACCATCAAAAGTTTCTGGCAGAAGGCACTATGTATTACGCCAGTTCTTTAAAACGCTCAACTTAAATAAGCATTATGATTACATGTACAGAAGGTTTCCTTTATAAAGAAGTTAGAAAACTTAATTATAATTTTATGAATGCAAAGAAATATAATGAATAAAATAGATAAAATAAATATAATAAAATAAATAAAATAAATAGATAAAATAAATTAAATAAATTAAATAAACTATGACGTCAATGGTTTCTATTATACAAATCAATTTTATTAATATATTATCGAAGAAAAGAAAACACTAGTAATTATTTTCCTGATCGGGTTGGATACATAAAAATTCATCTGATACACAGTATTCTTAATAAAGCAATGATCATTTTTTAATACTTCATTTTGATTTTATTTATGTTATTTATGTTACTGTTCCCATTAAGCCCTCAATCAATGATCTTTAAAACACTTATAAGAAATACTCTTTTATGGAATGATTTACTCATCTGTATTAGATAAATACTTCTTCATATTTTTGCTTTCTAGTAAGAGTAATCCTACTAGGAATCTACCTAATAATCCTAATCTCAATTTCATTATCTTAGATAGTAATGCCCACCCTCCATCCCTTTGTATGCATATCATTTATATACAAGATTTTGTATTCGAGATGTTCATATGATTATCTTTTACGTATAATAATAATATTTATTAAAATCTTTTTTTCATGTAGATTTTGCAGATAAAAGATTTATTGATATCATTTTAATTAATATATAAGTTGCGGAAAAAAAAAGTATTTTTTTCCTCCTTTGTTAACTTTTTAAATACGAAAAATTTTTTGATTTTATTTTTTCTTTGTTATCTAAGAAAATGCCTTCAAAATTGATCACTTTTTGCTATGTTCACGATTTCCGAGAAAGGCAAACTATTAGTTATATTATTAAAGAAATCATTGGCATTGTTAGGCTTGATGACATTGACTCTAACAAGATAGCATTCCTGTGGATCAAAGCCTTCATTCTAACTGATCAAATGGCACTAACAGAAATTAAACCATATGAGGTTGGCGACGTAATTTGTTTAAAAGGAAAGTTTGTGGCTTGTGATGATTGTACTCTGTAAGTGATACAAATGAGAATGATGAAATTTATCATCAAATTATTTTTGATATTTTATAAAAAAATTAACATTAATTCTTTTTTGTCGTAGGTTAATGCTACCTCCATAAAAATGCTCGATTTAGAATATGATGACATTCTAACGATAGATCTCAATGTTGTTATTTCTGGTTCTACGATACAAACTGTCAGAAATGTGAATGGTCTTTTTGTTCTTGAATTTAAAATTGAGAAAAGGTTAGGTGATAGAGAACCAAACGAATATATCCTTGAAGTCAGACATGATCTGGACAACACTTACCTCACCAACAAAACCAATGTCATAAATCAAACGATGAGATCAACCACTGTGATTTTGGTTAGTGTGATTGATTACAAACCTCCCTTGATACCTCGACTGTTCCAGACAAATCCGTCTTGGGTAAACACATCCTCAAGTTAGAAGATATTTCATTAATTAGTTATCCTAACCAAACCCGCATGAATGCCTCAATGATAATGCTACTGTGAAGTAGACAAAATAACGTCAGCCATACGCTTGCTAGTAAACCAACTCATCAGATGACCAGAAGGTTTTTGTCAAGAAGATCTCGAGCCACATTTGCTCATATGGGATAAACCATAACGTCAAGACGTCTTGTATCCTCCAGTTTATTGACCGCACTCAAAGTGAACCCCATCCTACATTCAGATGTCAATGCTCCATTAGAGGTTGAAGTTGATGCAATACCTCTTTCGAACGCTGAAAACTCGGTAGAAATTCTGCAAGAAGAAATGGAATGAATTTTCGTTTTTCCTTTTTTTTCTTAATCGTTTTTAAGATTTTTTTTTTAGTTAACGTCATATAATTAATTTACGTTTTTTGACACTGACGATAATTTTGGAATCGTTCAAATTTTTGGTTTTTTTTTTATTTAAGAAAAAAAATGTTTATTTTTTTATTTAACATTTATGATTTTTTTTATTACAAGTTCAATGTGTCATTTTTTTAAATGATTTAATAAAGTAAATGAATAATTAGAGCATTTATAAAGTTTTTTTTTATTGCGATATTTTTTTTTTTAAGTTTAAACAAATAAAAAATTTGTTTTTCTTTAAATAAATGAGAATGAACCTACCTGCTTTTATAATAATTATCAGTCTTTTGCATTATGTTTCCAATGGACAATACATTATCTGATTTAGATTCTTTTTTTTTGTGGTTTAATCTGTTTGTTTAACAAATATTTCATTTATCATCATTCAAATGATCCGTGTTAGCCTGAATAAAAATGAATTTATGCAAATAAAATCACAAAAAAAAAAATGAAGTTAGAAAAAATCATTTCTGATCACAAAGAAAAAAAATATATATTTAAAATAAAAATTAAAAAAGAACTATTGATAAATAATACTTAGCGAATAAATGGCCTATCTGATCAACAATATCTACGTATTCAATACCAAATACAAATCCATTTCGAACTTTATCATTCAACGATCTGATTATAATCTTGGATTTTGCTTAAACTTAGAGGATACTGTCATAAACATTGATCCAATAAATCAAACAAACATTCGGCTACCTCACTGAAGACCTTTAACCAAATTCCAGAGGTTATATGACCGCTTTCAAAATAACATTTTGGCTCAATATCCCAGAATCGCATGCATATACTGTGAAACTTGTTGTATCTTGAGAAAGCCTCTTGATCATTCTACGACCTTTCGTTCCTTTATCCTATACAACAACGAATCCCCTTAATCGATATATTATCATCCTTTAACCCAAACTAAGATCGAATTCTAGAATTTAGAGTTCCAACTTGCGAATCATGTAAAAAACCATCTACCAGATTTAACTTTCCTCACCTTTCACCCATGCCTGATGAAATCATTTCTGTAATATTACACAGAAGAAAGCATCTATCACCTGTCTACCTCCATTGTGCCTTAGAAAAATCACTGAACAGTAACCCATTTTCAGAATATCAAAGTTTAACAGGAACTATGAGTCATTCCTGTAATATAAGAATACACGTCTTATATTCTGGAACTCTAGGTGCTATTCTAGAACTCATTGACGATCTTGGCTTTGAATCTACTACCCTGAACTAGTTTGACCATTTGACTGATGACCTGATTCTACGATGTGTCACTTCCTGGTTGACACAAAATAATCCATACTTTCAACCTTTCACTGATCTATTGTCCTCATCTCGTAAATGTTCATATCTGAACGACCCTTTCCTAAGAGCTAGGCACATTCTGAAGACCCTACCGCTCCTCTTTTTAATTCACGAGATGTAGTAGTGTCAAATTACGAACTTCCTGATAAAGTCCACAATGAAGATTTCCATTACACAAGATTGATGGCTGGATTCGTCTGTGAGTCAGAAAACTTATGGAAACCTATCTCGACCTACGATTTGAACCTAGAACCCTTCTATTCCTAGATCTTTTTACCAATGAAAAGGGTCACTTTCACGACACGTCAGATCAATCCGTTGATGATGAATTCTGTGATGAAACTTACAGCAAGTACATCAAGTTATGGCTGACGAATATCGATTCAAGATGGAGACTTCACCATTACTGGTCTTTGTGTTCTTATTTGCAATTAAAAAAGTTAAGGCACTATCAGAATACGCAACGACTGCTCTGACAAAAGAATCTCCTCAGAAATAATGGAATGAACTTACCAACAGCAAGGCAATTACTCTAGCCGAGTACCTACTCTTCGCGTAATATAATCGACGAATCGAGTACAGTTCCCATTCCTTCTTTCATAAGAACTGGCGACACATATTTTTATCAAAAGAAATTCCACCTGAACTTGATGATCAATAAACTGGGTTTACCAACCTTATTCATTACTTTAAGTATGGCTGAACATCGCTGGTCTCACCTAATTAATATACTCACTAATTAGGATAATCGAGACATATTACCTCGAATAGGTCTTTTCACTACGCGAACTACTTCGTCTACAGATTCCAATCCCTAAAAAAAGAACTCTATAAAAAATCAGATCTCATAGGATTCGGTGAGATTACTGATTTTTTGATCAAGTTGAATTCCAGAATAGAGGAGCCGCTCATACCCATAATTGCTATTGGACAACTAACTCAATAGAAGATATGATCTCTGCAGATATTATACATTCGACAGTTCTGGATCCTTTATATAAACCTGAACTTTATGCTGCAATTATTGCGAATCAGATCCACACTTGCAACTTACATTGTCAAGGACCTTCAGCTCCAGGTTAAACTTGCAAGAAAGTATTTCCTCAACCTTTCAGTTTGACAATACATTACGAAGAAGGCAACTCCCGGTATATCTACAAATGCCTAACTCAAGCTAATTCTTGGGTTATTCTGTATCATCCTCTGACTCTATTACTATAGGATACACATATGAACTGTTAATATATAATTACAAAGGTTTCGCTAGATACATATCAAAATACATTGTGAAGACAAAACCTTCACACATATTTAACATCTATAAAAATGATCTCCTGAGGCAGCATATCATCGCACGCAAGTTGAGTTCCATGAAGCTTATGTTCTTACTACTAGGACATATGATCTGTAACTCGTCTACGAATGCCCAATTCCTCACCACCAATCCTCCTTCTATAAGAATACAGGTGATACTTTCCACTTACATTATGCGTGAAAATGATGACAATCCATATTACGATGATAGTATCACTAAATATTTATCGTGTCTTCACTCCTCTGAATTTGAAGGCCTAAAATACAACAAATACTTTCAAAGATATTTGATTTCTCTATCCAGACCTCTTAACACCACTTGACAAATCCACTGAGACGACCTATCCAATTACGTTGTTAAACAATTGAAAGATATCTTGACCAGTCATCGTTTCCTCAATGTAAAAGACGGAAAATTGTACTTTTATTAATGTTTACTGTTGACCGTTCTCGCGAAAAATGAGAATGATTATAAGAGTCAACAAGATGGAACTTATCATGAAAAGTTCCTCCAATTATTTTCTGATTTCCTATCTGAACTCCGAGATTAAACTCATAATTAACATCAATTACGAATAATTCGATTAAATAATCAATTCGCTGAGATGTTGGATCGTTTGTTAAATTCTCTAACCCTCCAACTTCCATCTAACCTTCACCGCATAATACAAATTCAGATGAAAGATTTAAAAATACTCCCTCACATTTATCTGATGACAGTTATGCTTGAATTACCACCAGATCAATATCGAACCTTATTCACGATCGCTATCTACATGGGTTCCAATGATGGAGTCTTCATAGGCTCAGGGAAAACAGAAAAATCTTTCATCATTAATACGATAATCAACATGCTAAAAAACGATCATCAACTTACCTCTTACTTACACCTACAGGAGTGGCAGCCCAAAATATTAAAGGCAAACAATTCACTCAACTTTGTGTATTACTTCAACCAGTGGAACCTTCTGTATACGTGCTTACGCAGATACTGAACTAAACAATCAACTAAAAAATATCGACACTTTCATTATCGACAAAACATCAATGATCTCTGCAGACCTCTTCAATTTCATCTTCAACACTTTCACGAACATCTACAATAACTCCATTTCTTTCGATGATATAAATGTCATCATTGCAGGTGATCTAGCACAACTCCTTCTACATATCTTCTGCACAGTAGCTTGGCCTTTATTCTATCTATTGTTCCTAAGAAATTCACAACGTTAATAGAATGATTCTGTATTCTACAAAATGTTGCAAAATATTCGAATAGGTTCTTTATCCGCTGAAACTTGGAATACATTAGATTGACGTCATGCTGAATTCTTCACTAAGTTATCAATTCAAAACTAACTCAATACCACCTATATCATCAGTTTCAAAAAAACAGCACAACAGATCAATACGATGATCTGTAATACTCTTCCAGTTCTAGATAGTCGATTCATCATGTTTAAAGTGATCGATGTCGTAGATTCTGTTAGGTGGGAATTGTCTTTTTCTGATCATATCTTTAAATCAAAGATAAATCTCCCTTCTTGCATTCATCTTCAACTGGAAGCTCGAGTGATGTATTTGAATAATATGATCATCAACTAAGGTATATGTAATGTTATAATAGGAGTAATCGCTGATGTTGATACCAACGAAGATTTGATACAGGTTGCATTTTCTATAAGAGGTTTAATAGTCGATATCATTGTCTACAAGCAGACCCACTACTTCCAACTAAATAGATACAACGGTCAACGTATCCAGTTCTCCTTGCAAAATTAATTCGCTCTTACCATTCATAAAACGCAAAGCTTAACCTTTCTGAGGGTAACTCTTGCCTTAGATAGAAATATATTTTCTCCCGGTCAGGCATACGTCACTCTTAGTATATGTTTCGTCTGTGATAATGTAGACATATCACATCTTTATCATTCCGCATTCATGGTTAATAATAACATTATAGATAAATATAAAAGGTTAGAAGACGTCTCTAACAACAGGCCTCAACGTTTTCTATAAATCAAGAATCCTTTACAATGAAATTAAAAAGATTAAAAAGATCTGACATAGTGTTGTTACACATATCAATACATGCATTATTATTACATTTTAAGATCGACTGATAATTATTTACGAAAAAAAATATTTTATTAATAAAACGTCACATGGCTACTGGTACAAAAAAAGACTAGCTAGTTAGGAAATTAATTTTATGCTAATAATTTCATTACTTAATTTGATGATCAATTTTGTAATACTAATTTGATTGACTATAGATCGTTTGCAGATCAATTTTGCAGATCTAATTTCAAGGGTAACATTATCATTATATTTAATTTTTTAATTAAAGTTACTTATTAAAATAAGTTTAAATTTCTTTTTAAAATTTAAAATATTTTTAAAATTTTAGATCTAAGAATTAGGTTCTAGGACTAGGTCCTAAATTAAGTATATTTATTTTTTTAAAAAATTTTTTTATTTTAAATTGATAAAATAATTGATATATAATAATTATTAAAAAGATTAATTTATTATTAAAAATTTAATTAATAGTATATAAATTAAAATTATCTTTAAATTCTTTATGACTAATTAGAATTTATTAGGATTTTTACCAACCCTAACTATAGAGTCTAATACATCAATACCTGATATCATTACTTTCTTATCATTCTGTGATTCTGCTACAAAATCTTATTCTACTATCGCAAACCTAGCCTCAAGTTTTGTATTCTTTTGTTCTACTTTTTCAATTTTAGCATCACACCTAGCATTCTTCTCAATAATATATCTCAATTTTGCGTTTTCAGCCAAGATCACAACAAGCTTCTTTTTAAGTTCAGAAATTTCAGCATTTTTGGTTTCAAGCTCATTTTTTTTCGCTTTAATCTTAACGTACTTAGTTCAAGCTTGGTAAAGTGTTGATTCAATAAATCTATTTCAGATTGCATGTCTATTAAATATAATACTATTTATGCTCTATACAAAATTAAAAAATTCACGTGACATACTGACCAATGGTCAGTAACTTTTGCCAAGAAAAAAAGTATTGCATAATTACACATGACTCACTTTTTTATATACGTTCTTTTTCAGCTAAAAGCTTCAAATAATAATACTTTATTTATAAAATAAACATTGTCAGAAAGCAGACAATAATATATAAAATATTACGAATATATCACTTTATTATACTGTACTTAGTAATTTTTTTTAAAAAAAAAATCAATTTAGTCTATTTTTCTAGCACTAAAGCTCTGCATAAGCTGAGCTGGCTCACAAGCCTCACAAGCCAGCTCGCGAAAGCTCAGCTAGAGCTGTTATAAAATGACTCGCAAGCTAATCAAGCCAGCTCATGCCGTAGCTTAGCTTATAGCGCAGTTCAACTCATTGACTTGGATTTTTCATTTTTGGAAAAAACAATTCAGGAGTATTAACTTCAAAGAAAAATGCTTTCAGCAACGATTTCTTCGAAGTTAAATGATTCTGGAAATGATTCTTCAAAGTTAAATGATTTCGGCAATGATTTCTTCAAAGAAAAAATGATTCAGTAATGTTTTCTTCGAAGAATAACGCTTCCAGAGCATTTTTAAAATAAAATTACCTTCAGAGCTCTTTTTTTAAATGACATGCCTCCAGTGTGTTATTTCTAATTAATAATGTTTCAAAAGCATTATTTTTAATTTATAACGCTTTGGGAATGTTATTTTTAATTTATAATGCTTTGGGAGCGTTTTTTTAATTTATAACGCTTCTGAAGTGTTACATTTAATAAAAACACTTTCAGAGTGTTATTTTTAAATTATAATGTTTTTGGAGCATTTCTTTTAAATAATAATGCTTTCAGTGCATTATTTTTAATTAATAACGCTTCTGAAGCATTAAATTTAAAAAAATAAAGCTTCTTAAGCGTACATTTAATAAAAATGCTTCTGGAGCATTATTTTTAAATTATAACGCTTCCAGAGCGTTTCTTTTAAATAATAATGCTTTCAAAGTGTTTTTTTTGAAGGAATAGCCTCTGTGCTTTTCCATTAAAATAAAATGTTTCCAGAGGCGTTTCCTTAAAGGGAATCATTCCCAGAGGTGTTTCCTTGAAGGGAATCATTTCCAGAGGCGTTTTCTTGAAGGAAATCAATCGTTCCCAGAGGCGTTTCCTTGAAGGGAATCGTTCCCAGTGGTGTTTCTTTGAAGGGTATCATTTCCATAGGCATTTACTTGAAAGGAGTCATTTTCAGAGGTGTTTCTTTTGAAGGTATTGCTTCTGTGGCTTTTTCTTTGAAGGGAATCATTTCCAGAGACGGTACTTTTGAAGGAATTGCTTCTGTGGCTTTTCCTTTGATGAAAATCGTTTCCAGAGGCGTTTCCTTAAAGAAAATCATTGCCAGAGGTGTTTTTTTTGAAAAATTGCTTCTGCAGCTTTTCTTAAAAGGAAAAAAACCTCTGTGGCTTTCTCTTTAAAGGAAAGCACTCAATTTTTTTAAATGACATTTTTAATATTAAGGTTTATG